GTTGATGGCTGTTGGCATTCCTCTTCTTATGCCTATATATAGTAGATGTTTTAGAGTTTTAAAAGAGAGAATGATATATGAGAGAGAATGATGTGAGTTATTTTTGGGATAAAACCTGAGTGGTTTTTGGCTTTAGAAATCCTGCGGGCTCTTTCTAAGCTTCTTCCCCTCCTCCTCCGGAAATCCTGCGGGCTCTTTCCAATCTTCGTCTCGTCTCCTAATCTCTTTCTTCTATCCGCAAGTGCCACCTCACCTGTATCCTTCTTCTCTTGGAAAGCAACTTTAGGAGTTTATGTTTATGATTGTGTAAGCGTCGTTTGTACGAGTCAAAGTTTGTAAGTCTTTCATTTTACTATATAAAATTGGGGTTTATCGTATTTGTGTTCTTTTGGGTATTTTGTGATTTGTTTTTTTGTGATAAAAAATTTGGGGCCCTCCCTCTCCCAAATTTTTGATTGCATCACACATTGCTTCCGGTTTAATGTCTTTGTTGAGATTTAACTTATTGTTAGTTCGAGTTTGATAGAATAAATGCAAAGCTTTTATTTCCCTTGACAAATTGCAACTAATTGTATACGCCCTTGAAAAATCGCAACTAATTGTATACGAGAGGATTCTCTTATGTAAAGCAATGGCAGTTAGTGATAATGCCTACTAATGCGTTTCACCATTGAGTATTAGAATTGACACCTGTTTATATGCTGTTCTAGAGTTTAGCATATAATGTTTTGGAATATTGTTTATTTCCTCTGTCTGTCCATTCACTGCAGTTTTTCTTTCAGCTCCAAGAGAATTATGATAAACAGAAGCTCAGAATAAAAAATACCGAACGTGATCTTCAAGTTGCTGAGGTTGGTCATATTTACCAACTATACCAGCTGGCTGACGTTTGTATTATGTTTTCCCACATAATTTGATTGCATTTCAGGAGGAGTTGATGAAAGCACAATTAGAAGCAGCTTCAAAGTTAAAAAAGTTGACTGAGGTTTGAAGATATGGCTTGGCATGTTTTAGCTATTTTCAACAACTGCGATAAAATTATTCAGCAACTGACATGATATAATTTACCCGGCTTTCTTGGTGATTGCTAAATTCAGAGAATTGGATAGGGAAATGCTTAATTTTATTATACAAAACTATACCTATTTATAAATCTATACATTATATCTTAATAAAGAAATAAATAATTACAGAATCATGCATAATTTCCCTAATATAATCCTTCCTAAATCAGCCACCCAAATATGGAAGGAGATCGGTGTGATCAAGGTGAGTCTCCCATGGATTCCTATTCTTGCCATGGGATCAAGTGTCAAGGGATGGTTGGGATTTAATAGAGATTGGCGTGATCCAGGTGAGCAACCATGAATTCTGATCCTGGTCGTGGGATCAAGTGTCAATGGATGGTTGAGATTTTTAACAGTGATCAAATATGCAGACAACATTCTACTTTTTTTAAACAGTAAATTTTGCTTATTTAAAATTGGCTAGTATAGCCATTTCAAATTGCTTGATAAATATTAGTGTCAAAGAGAGATACTTTGATGGAACAAGGAATTTTAGTCCATCAATGTAACAATTGCCTTGACCAAATAATTAGGATATTTCTAGTTATGTTGTTTCCTTTGTAAATAATTTTCAGCGAATGAAAAGTATCTTTGGTCAGTATGGAAATATGTCAGAAAAAGTCAAAAGTTTATGTGGATTGCTGATTCAATAACTAGTTTTTTTTTTTTTAGTTTTATGTTGAGAAGTGTTTGATCCAGTGTCTATCACCATCTGCCAGCTTGCCCGCATATTCCTTTGATGTCAACTTTTCATGATTTTGATCAGAATTGTCTTCTAATTGTATCAAAATACCATCTTCGGTGCAGATGTTTAAATTGATAGCTGAGATCTAAAAATCCATGTGTTTGAAAATAGTTCTTGGTGGTTGCATCGTTGCCTTTTTTATCTAATTTGCTGCACTGTTGTAGAAACGCTGTATTCTGGACAAATTTTGTACATTGTTGTTCTACGATTCAACATTATTCATTTTCATTATCATTTAATATTAGCAGCTTAATTTTAAGTGATGTGCTTCCATAAAAAATTTGAATAATTTGATTATAACATCTAATATTTGGTCTTCTGATGCGGCGGGGGGAGCTCTTTGGGAAAGATATAAGGGGCATTTATTAGGGGATTTGAGCTGTTTTTTTTTTTTTGGGGGGGGGGGGGGGGGTGTGTTTGGGGGCGAGGAGGTAGTTTTGAAGGTTTAGGGCTTATGTTGAGTTTTATTTTATACAACATTTTTTGTTTGGTGTTTGGGATTTTAGTGGCTGCTAGGAATTGGGGGAGAGACGATTCTCCTCTTGAACAGTGAATCAACTTGTATCTTGTCTTTTTTAGCTTGAAGATTAGTAAATACAATGCCTTGGTGTTATTTTTGGATCTATTTGAAGTAAATTTGTTGTTTTTTATATTGTTGTGTGCTTTTGTGATCATCAAGTCCTGTCAAATTGGTATCAGAGCACGATTTGGGATTTATGGCGTTGAAGAAAGTTGATGCTTTGGAAGAGAAACTAGAAGGAGAAGTTGGCCAACTCAAATATGAAGTTGAGAAACGGATTTCATCCATAGAAGAAAGGTTTTCTAACCTAGAGGACTTGATGAAGAAAATATCGGATCTTCATACCCAACTAACAACATTGGAGGCAAGAGCACTGACAGGTGGTTAAGGAAGTGGGGGAAACCCCGATATCGACACAATGGGGGATGATCGATAGGTAGAAATCTTTGGCGACAGTGAAAGTATGCCACCTCTTGAACCGATAACTAGGAGGGAAATGTGTGAAGGAAATGACATGAGGAGAAATTGGGAGGAAGAAATGAGGAGGGCTGATTTTAGGAAGATTATATCTATGAAAGGAGGAGGGGGTGGATGAGAATAATGGAGAAATCACAACTATCGCCACATGGGAGGAGTCGAAGGTGGAAGACGTTATCTTGGGCTTCATTGAGGATTGCCTAGATCAGAAGGGTTTATTGTGATTCTAGTGGTAGTGGACAGTTGAACAAATATACTCATTTCATTCCTTTATTCCACACATACACCACGGTGTCAGTGGCAGTCACATTCATTAGAGAAGTGGTCTGTTTGCATGGCATATCTGAGTCCATTGTATCCGATCGGGATAAGGTCTTTCTGAGCCATTTATGGACCTAATTAGAGTCCAACTTACCACCCCTAGAAGGATGGCCAGACGGAGGTGTTGAATCTCTGTGTGGAGACTTATATTTGTTGTTTTGTATAAAAAACACCAAAGATATGGGCAAAGTAGTTAGCCCGAGTAGAATATTTGCATAACACTTCATATCATACAACAGCTCAGACAATGTCATTTAAAATCTTATATGAGAGGGATCCATCTCATCTAATACATTATGGGCATGAAAATATACTAGTGTTATTAGTGGAGCAATATTTAGGATAAAGAGGCTGTATTTTGGCAGAATTGAAGGAACATCCACGAAGAGCATAACAAATCATGAAGAAGCAGGCGGATGGACACGAGAGAGATGTATAGTTTGAGGTTGGGGGCAGGGTTTATCTGAAGATCCGATCTTACTGACAGAGGACTTTGGATCGACGAAGGAATGAGAAGCTCTCCCCTCGCTACTTTGGGCCCTATAAAGTAGTGGAGCACATTGGCGCAGTAGCACATCGCCTATGGTTGCCACCTACCTCAGCCATCCATCTAGTATTTCATATATCGCAATAGAGATGAGCCATTGGAGACCACACACCCTTGCCCGCACTATCGACCACACTGTTAGAGATTATAAAGGTGATATTAGAACCACTGGAGGTGAAAGAGGTGCGCCAAGGATAAAGGGGACGAGGGAGGTGCAGGTCAAGTGAAAGGGGTTACCAAAGTATGAGGCGACATGGGAGCCCTACAGTACCATCCAAAAGCAATGTCCATCTTTCTATCTTGAGGTCAAGGCTACTTTTTGACAGGGGAGTATTGATGCGGTGGTAGTTCCTTACACTAGGCGAGAGACCTAGCGGCCCAGGCTGGCAGCACAATTGCCCATGCGGGCAGCCCAATTGCCCAGGCGGGTGGCCCACCCTCCCATACAGACTGCCTTAATTCCCAAACAATAGATTAGGAACCTTTCTTCCCCCCCTATAGGAGAAGAGGCTTTTGATGGGAGCTCTTTGAGAAAGATGTAAGGGGCATTTATTAGAAAATTTGGGCTGTCTAAGAGGGGAAATTGTGGAGGGTTAGGACTTATGTTGAGTTTTGTTTTTTGTAGCAATTTTTATTGGCCGTTTTGGTTCCTAGTGGCTGCTAGGAATTGTGAGAGAGATGATTCATCTCTCGAATAGTGAATCAACTTGTATCTTGCATTTCTTTGCTTGGAGATTAGTAAATACAACCCCCTTGGTATTATTTCTGTATCTATTTGGAGTAAATTTGTTATTTTTATATTGTTGTGTGTTGTTTTGATCATCAAGTTCTTTCAGCTTATTGATAGGGCTGCAAACGAGCCGAGCCGAGCCGAGCCGAGTATGTGAATGTTCATGTTTGTGTTCATTTAATATCAGCTTGTTCAAGTTTGGTTCATGTTTGTTCGAGCTTTATTGTTTGTGTTCATGTTTTGTTCATTTAAATTAATGAGTGTTCATATTCGGTTCATGTTCAGTTCATGTTCGTTCGTTTAGTGCTTATCGAGCTTGTTCGCGAACATATTTAACGATTTTTTTTAACTATCAAACAAACACGTTCATGAACATATCTATGAACGAACACATTTATAATAAAAGCAATTGTCTATTTATTAATTCTATTGTCAAATATTAATTATTTTTATTGAGCTTATTCACGAGTTCAAAATCGAACACAAATCGAGCTTAATGTCGAGCTTGTTCACGAACTTCAAATGATGTTGTTCGCGAACATAAATGAGCCGAACACATTAGTGTTCAAGTTTGTTTATTTAAGAATCGAGTATTTAAAATATTGTTCAAGTTTGTTTGTTTGGTTAATTAAACGATAACAAACGAGCTTTAATCGAACCGAACAACGAGTAGCTCGTCGAACGTATGGTTCGCTTGCAGCCCTACTTATTGATTCATGCAAATGTTGATTTTTCATACTATGCATTTTGTGGTACTTGATGCTGTTTGAGGCAAAACTCTTGTACTGTTCATCCTTGGTTTTCAATGTTCTACCCAAATTCTATTATACATTTTCTGAGGGTTCTAAAAATGCTTATCCTGATTGATTATGTGATTATGATAATAAATGGCCACGAGAACCCAATGTTCAAATCCTTCTTAAGATTCAGTCAAATTGCATTTGCCAAATTCTTGTTCTATAATTCTTTTCTTTTTACTCTAAAATGAGATTTTTGAAATATCTTTTATGTTCTGCTGAATCCTGTCACTGACCATGGCACTTCTCTGAAATTTGAAGCCACATTTAATTTGTCGCACTTACTGGTTAGGTTCATGTAGCATGGCTTCCAGCATGGATTGCATTTTATATGAGTCATTGCGTGGTAAGATTTAGTCTAAAGAATGAAACTTTCACTTTTGTTTCTTTTCTTCATTTATTTAATTGACTTTTACTTGCAGGAGGTTGCAGTAACCCACTGGAATGAGCATGGAAAACTGGCCTTGGATGGTTTCTTCCAAAAGGTTTAGTTTGTTGTTTGTAGAGTTATTGAAGTAGGACTACAATGCTAAAAGTAATTTGGCAAGAGCTTGCACGACTTATTGATTAGAATAATAAAGATTAGGACTACTAGCAAATAAAACAACAAAACAAAACGTAAGAGCGGTCACTTCCACTTATTGATTCATGCAAATGTTGATTTTTCATACTATGCATTTTGTGGTACTTGATGCTGTTTGAGGCAAAACTCTTGTACTGTTCATCCTTGGTTTTCAATGTTCTACCCAAATTCTATTATACATTTTCTGAGGGTTCTAAAAATGCTTATCCTGATTGATTATGTGATTATGATAATAAATGGCCACGAGAACCCAATGTTCAAATCCTTCTTAAGATTCAGTCAAATTGCATTTGCCAAATTCTTGTTCTATAATTCTTTTCTTTTTACTCTAAAATGAGATTTTTGAAATATCTTTTATGTTCTGCTGAATCCTGTCACTGACCATGGCACTTCTCTGAAATTTGAAGCCACATTTAATTTGTCGCACTTACTGGTTAGGTTCATGTAGCATGGCTTCCAGCATGGATTGCATTTTATATGAGTCATTGCGTGGTAAGATTTAGTCTAAAGAATGAAACTTTCACTTTTGTTTCTTTTCTTCATTTATTTAATTGACTTTTACTTGCAGGATGTTGCAGTAACCCACTGGAATGAGCATGGAAAACTGGCATTGGATGGTTTCTTCCAAAAGGTTTAGTTTGTTGTTTGTAGAGTTATTGATGTAGGACTACAATGCTAAAAGTAATTTGGTAAGAGCTTGCACGACTTATTGATTAGAAAAATAAAGATTAGGACTAATAGCAAATAAAAACAACAAAATAAAACGTAAGAGCAGTCACTTCCATTTAGGCTACGTTGCACAACAAGAGCTTTGAACTATCAAGATTACATAGGAAATCAATGACATGCAAATATAATAGCTTTCAACGAAAAAATCTCTAATCTATCAATAGGATTAGAAACAAATGAAGTGCACTCAATCCCTACGTTTACTAAGCTCGGTAGAATTAGGCAAACCCAATCTTCATGAATTAAATCAAATTACAAGTAAGAGGGTTAGACTAAGGAAATACAAGAGGAGGGAGATTGAAAGACTTTCGTAAGGTTCGGATGTAATTCTCCACTGTATGGTCCCAAGTTGCTCTTCAATAGCCTCGATCAGGGTGTCCAGGATGCGCTCTACGTACTCTTCTACGATGTGGTCGATGCGCGGGTTGACGTCGAAGAAGGTCGAGTGCAAGATGCAAACAAATCCTTGCTCGTCGTAGGCGAGACTGTAATCAAGATCTGGATCGGCCATTCATGAATGCTAGATGAAGGTCGCTTCCGAATATCATTAGCAACTTTGAAACTCCGATAAAGAGAAAGAAGTTTCTCTTAAACTTGAAGCGGAGATGATGAAGTATGGTGGCCGGCCAAGGTTGGAGAGGGAAGGATTTAATTTGGTTTTGGTTTGGGATGAGGGAAAGAGTCTCCAAACATTGCTCTAATTAATCCCTTGATTTGGGAATAATTAAAGAGGAGGGAGAGATGATTGGGGCGGCGACAAGAGGGAGAGAGGGGATGAGGGGGCTTGTTTCCAAAACTTGATGTAAGGTTTTGGAAAGTGTTTAAGAGGTGTGGAGTCTTGTGAATTTTGGCCAAGAGGAGGTGGAGGGAAGTTTGAATTGTTTCCAAGGTGGGGAGGCGGGCTTTAGGAAACAATTCCTAATTTAATCTTATAGGGGGCCAGCGGCATTAATGAGCTAGGGAGAGAATTAAGGAGGCTTTAATGCTTCCTTAAATTAGATAATTAGATTTGGAATGAAATAATTCATTCCAAATTAAATTAAAATCCAATGGGGAGGGATCTAAAAACTTTCATAAAATAGATTTTATAATTTAGGAAAGATTTTGAATTTCAAATTAGGTAACTTTGAATTCAAAATCTGCCCAAATTATGACGATCTAGAATAGGAAATAAATCCAAGAGAGGGCAAGGGTCTAGGGGCCGGCGGCTTGCTTGGGGTTCGGATAAGGGAGCCGGCGGCGAGGTGGTGGCGGCTTGGAGGAGGAAGGAAAGATATAGAATGTAGAATCACGAACCCGACTCATCTAGGTTGGTGGGTGTTGCACAATTCTCCCTCTCCTAGGGATCTCACTCGAATCTCTCAAGGTCTCATGAGAGTTCAAACAAAGAAAAGCAAAGTTTTCAAACAATCATTCATTAACTTCAAAAGAAGAACAATGAGTCTATAAATAACCTCGTACAAAGACTCACAAAATAAAAGGACGACAATGCCCCTAGGGCTTACATACGACCTCACTTAATAAAAGGGTACAACAGGAAACTAATAAAACAAATACAATATGACATCATAAATAAGAAAATACATAAAACAACTTAGAAATACAATGACTCAATTATGGCCATAGATCGATAGCCACGTCTCTGATAGACCTTCCATGATCTGGTGTCCCCATCAGTTATCTGTCATGCGTGGAAGGTTTTTTTTTTTTTTACTTTTAGACTGTTTATATATTTGTAATAAGTTTTTGAAGTTTATGTTTCCTCACCTAGCTGATTGTTTTGCTCCAAAACACTGTTGCAGGCATCAGAGAAATCAGCACGTGTGGAGAAATGGGCTGAAAGTCATTTGCATGCAACCCAAACTGTGAGAATTTTCCCATGCTTTCTATGAACAGTAGCTTGTGTGGTGGCTGATGTCCAAGGCGGTGATCTTTTGCATCATTTAAAAAAAAAAAGTGGCATGCTGTGAGACCTAACATGCGCGGTGACTTAGGAGTTTTTTATTTATCTTTGTGTGTGGGGGGGCTTGTGGGTTTTGGGTCTCGTTTCATGCATTTCTACACTATTTTGTTGGTGGAATTAGTAGTGAATGGGAGCATGTGTGGTGAGTCCTGTTGATGAGAGCAATTCAAATTTGAACGGGATGAAGTTTGACAATTTTAGGAATTAAAAAAAGTATTAATTTGAATTTAAATTGAGCCTAATCTTATGCCAAATTTGTAACCCCTTGATGTGAGCTCAAAAAATTCATACCCTCGATTCTACTGAGTTAAGTGTTCCGAATCAAAATTTCAAAAGTTAGATTAGATTGTAAGATAGGACATTACACATAGATTCCCTCTCATTTTGCTAAGACTTTGATATATGATTCTAGGTTTTTCATAGATGTAATCCCCTATAGTGTATTACCCCTCTCAATGATGAAAGAAAACTTTTAAATAAGGCTAATCATTAGATACTAAATGCTTAGTATATAGTAACAATACATTTGGTTTCAGATTGAGAAATTCACCATTATAAATTTATAGCGAATGGTTGGGGTGAATGATCGTAGAGCTGATCAAGGTTATTTGATTTTTTTTGTCCTGAGTTATCATGAGCTTTACTCTATTTAGTCAAAGGAGGTAGTAGATCTAACTTGATCGAATAATCCTTGTCGGCAGCCATAAATTTTTCTCCGTCCTAAAAGACCTTGTAGATCTGTGGTGAATGTTTTTCTAAGGGGATGAATTTAAATTGACCATAGCTAATATAATATTTGGTGCCCTTCAAGCATATATTATGATTCACAATTCAAGGTTTTTTAAGCTATAGTGAAACTTGTGGGCTCTAGTACTGTCCTTTATTTAATAGTGCCATTTTGCGGAGGAAATGCCTAAACCACTTGTTAAAAGGATATATTTTATATTCTTTCTGGTAAGAGATTATTTGAGATTAAACATAATGATACATTTTACAAAACACAAGCTCTTTATGAGCAAAGATTTTTCTTAAATTTATCACGCTAAAAAATAGTTATGGATGATGAATTAATTTTTCTCTAAGTTTTAAAGCAATATATTTCACTTATATATATATATATATAATTTGGGCTTCACACAATTTATTTTGGGATTTAGAGTAATTTTATAAACATTATCTACTTTGATTGAAAATTTCAATCAATAAAGTCATCATTGGGATTTCGAGCGCTTTCATTTTGTTTAATTTTTACCTTGTCAACTTTGCTAGCTTACATGCGCATGATCAGGTATGTGTTTAGTATTTGTAGTCACATTTGTAAGATAAAATATCATTACGATTATCGATCTTGGTATTTAGTTTACAAGATCACTCGGCTGGAAAATTCTGTTTTAATTAGCATTGCAATAGTTTGTCGAGAGTTTCTTGACTTTGGTCTTGGAGAACAACAAATCAGACTTCACCAGTGGAACTTATGGCTCTACTATGTAGATAGGGAAACTCGCTTCATGTTAACATCCATATACATTCCAATGTGAGAAACAAGGAAAAGGACGATCGTTGGCAAATATGTCACTCAACGAATATTAAAGCTCCTCGATCAATCACGATATTAACCAAACTTCTTTTGATTGTGAAACAAACTGCATCGTTGCATTCAAGCCATCAAATTTACCAAAGAAGTGTGACTCATGCGTGTAGTGCACCTTTAGTATTCGAGCTCATACAATTACCTATACTGCCAGCTCATATTAGTACACGACTACTCTTCCAGAATCTGATTTTGGAATTGCTTTTCCAACTTTCTTCCAATATGCATTGAAATACATAACTACAGAGCCACTAAAACTTTCAAATACAGAAAATCTCATCCACAAAGTATTTTTTTATTCATCAAAATAATCATATACATTACAGTACATGGCTACAGACAGAAGGTACAGAACAGAAAAATAAATCATCCATGACTGTACAAAAATCAAAATAACAAAATACCTATAACTTCAGATCAGATTCTGTTCGACTAGTCTACAACTTCCTTTCCTTTCTCAGGTCCTGAAAATCATGAATAAAACCACAGTTAGCTAACAGCTCAGCAAGATCACACTAGCCGATCTAAATTCCCAGACACTCTCATTTCAAAATGCTATATAGAAGATTTGAAACAGTTTACTTCAAATCAATTAATTACTGAACTGAAAATCACAAAATAGAGATACATAGCAATTCATTCACTGATTCAGATAACCATGCAGAATTCAGATGTTCATCAGAAATCCAGATAAACACACAGAATTCGGATAATCGTACAGAATCAGACAATCAGATAGAATTTAGATATTCGTACATAAATCAAATAACAGATATACAAAGTTATTCAGATCAGATTTCGTTTTTCCATACCCAAATAGAATTTCAAAGGATTCTGGCCCCTTATAGCTCCCAACAGATATCTTTCAATCACATGTGCACATAAAACATAACATTATAACAATTTCAGAGAAATCATACATGTATAAAAAAAATGTCACCATATTGTATAACGGCAGACAACGGAAAACCCAACGAATAAAAAATGACCAGTTTCAGAAAATTACCAAATTACCAGATATCGTGTAAAACAACGTTTCAAAACTTTTATTGTACTAAAGCATTATTTTTCAATATTCTGATAATTTTCTATTCGATAAAAACCCCGCAGATTTCAAAAGACCTGGTGAAAAATTTTCAGAAAATATTCAAAACATACAAATTCATAATCTCTACAACATACCAAAAGTTAAGCGATAAAAGTTTTACAGGTGCAAAGTTATTCCCGTTTTTTGCTAACGGACACAAAACTTTAAGTTAAGAATAGACTTAGTGAGGGGATTGTGACTTTGGGCGATCAAGTCATTAATAAGAGTACACGTTTTAGATATCTTATTTAAACGAGAATTTGACTTTTAATAGGACACAATGGAGAAAAAGGATTCATGTAACCGACCCCACGTAGTGGGATAAAGGCTTGATGTTGTTGTTGTTGTTGTTGGACACAAAACTTTAATCGGAATATTCGTTAAAACTCACATTTCTAAAAATTGAGGCAAGCATAACGTGCCTTACCTATAGTCGATCAACTTTCTCAACTGCGTCGACGGACGAAAACGAACCGAAGTCGCCCAAAACCGGGTTTCTTCCTCTTTCTCTCTCCTCTTTCTCTCTCTTCAAAACATGTTAAACTGTCCATTATATAGAGAAGAGATATTTTCGATCATACGGACGATATTTTTCGTTCATCCCAGGACGATCGGCTCTGTTCATGTTTAAATAGAATTCGTACAGACAATAATTGTTTTTCGTCCTAGGACGATCTCCTCTGTACGCAAATCGTACGGACGATAATTGATTTTCGTCCTAGGACGATTGGCTCTATTCTGAGCTCGTTCTATTCGTCCAAACGATTCGTACAGAGGAACTACACAGAATTTCAAAAATGACTTGAAAGCTTAAGGGTTTCACAACTCTTATGTTTTAGTTCAATTATCTACTAACCGTTTTTGTCTTTTTGCTACTTTAGTACCTGGGACTTTATTCCCACTTTTTGCTTGCTAGTAGTTAATTAGAAAAGAGATAAGAAGACCTCATACATATAGGGGAAGCGATAAAGAAATACATAGAAGAAATATATCTCAGTTTTATAGAGGAATTCTATTCCTTGTTCTTGCTTGTCCTGTTTCATTGTTTTCTTGCAGGTTTTTGGATCCCTTGGTGCAGTTAACACATTAAGTTGGTATCAGAGCAGATCTTCCTGGCGAGGCAATGATAGACGGAAACCCTCGCAACACGTCAGACGCAGATCGAAGCGTGGAGGCCCTGTGAAGGGAACAAACCAAACTGGCTTGGCAGCTGGACGAGCTTAATACCAGCTTCAATAGATTCGCTGTGGAGGTTCAGCAAGCACTTCAGGCGGATAGGGGACTGGGTGTTATGAACCCCATGGCTAGACAAGCAATTCCGAAACCCATTCCGCCTGTACACGGGATGGCGCGGAGGTGATTGGAGCATCTAGCCGAATTAGCGGACTCGGAGGATGACATTGATCTGCAGCAGGGATTTAATTATTTCGATTTAGATAACGATAACGCCGCATTGCCGAACATGAACAGATGAATGCCAAATCGCTACCATAGGCCTAATGGTGAATTTCGTATTAAACTTGATATTCCCTTCTTTGATGGTAGGCTGCACATATAAGATTTTCTTGATTGGGAAAGAGCAGTCGAATCCTTCTTTGAATATATGGAAATTATGGCTGAAAAACAAGTTAAGTATGTAACTTGTAGATTGTAAGGGGCTGCAAGTGCTTGGTGACAGCAAATTCTACAGTCTCGCCGAAGGGAAGGGAAGGGAGCTGTCCGCAATTGGCTTCGTATGAAGCAATTGCTACGGGGCCATTATCTCCCTACAGACTACGAGCAAATATTGTACATTCAATACCAACATTGCGTGCAAGGGAATCAGAGTGTCACCGATTACACTGAAGAATTTTATTGTTTAAGTGCGAGGAACAATCTCCATGAATCGGAGAATCAGTTGGTGGCACGGTATATTGGCGGATTGAAGGATAGTTTGCAAGAAAAATTAGAATTAAATTCTGTTTGGTCCCTCTCGCTAGCTGTTAATTTTGCCCTTAAGGCCGAAATGCAAGTGACTCGACACTCGCGCAGCCACTCGAGTTGACGGTTGGAGAACAACGAGTTGTGACTCCGATCAGTAAGCTACAGGCGGCTAGTTCTTGGTCCGCAACTGAGCCCGCAAAAGTACAGGCAGCTGACAGCAAGTTTGTCCGACCGAGACCTGGAGTAAAGGAAAATCCCTACTCAAAACCTGCCACTTATAAATGCTTTCAGTGTTTCCAAC